AAGACCTTGGGAAGCTTGAGATGGAGGAGGAGGACCTCTGTCCCTTCCTGGACAAGGGTGTCCTCCAGAGGGGCTGTGACGGCTGCTACTCCTTGATCCACCTCAGCGTCCAGCAGTTCCTTGCTGCCATGTATTACATTCTGGACAGTGAGGAGCAGGAAGAGGTGGAGTGCCACAGGTGGGACATCCGGGAAGTGCAGAAGCTGTTCTCCAAGGAGGAGCGAGTGAGGAACCCCAGCCTGACCCAGGTGGGATACTTCTTGTTTGGCCTCTCAAACGAGAAGAGGGTCCAGGAGCTGGAGTCGACTTTTGGCTGCCGGATGTCCCTGCAGATCAGGGAGGAATTACTGAAATACAGAGCGAATCTTGATGAGAACAAGCCCTTCTCTAGGACTGACATGAAGGAGCTTTTGTACTGCCTCTATGAGTCTCAGGATGAGGGGCTGATGAGGGACGCAATGGTCCCCTTCACAGAAGTTTCTCTCCACTGGATGAATACATTTGAAGTGATGTACTCTTCATTCTGCCTCAAGCATTGTCAGAACCTGCAGAAACTCTCCCTGCAGATAGCAAGGGGGATATTCCTGGAGAATGACCCTGTGTCGCGTGAGGACGCTCAACTTGAGAGGTAAGAGTTCAGTCTTAGCCTGCTAGTTCTCCTGTCTTCAGCCTCATCCCATGCTCTGCTGGTCCCCTTGACTTCCTTTCTGTTTAACATTCAAGATAGGAGATGGTGTTATAATTAGGAATGGGGTCTTTTTTGTTTTACCTTTTTAATTTAAAAATGTTTTTAACTTTTAACCCCTTCACTAAAAGACAGGCTCTGGCTCTTGAGTGCAGTGGTGGGATCAACTTGAACTGTCCTGGGCTCAAGTAATCCTCCTTCCTCAGCCTCTCAAGCCACTGGGACTACAGGCACGCATCATGCCTGGCTCACTTTGATTGTAGAGATAGTCTCAGGTGTTGCCCAGGCTGGTCTTGAACTCCTAGCCTCCAGTGACGCTCCTGCCTTGGCCTCCCAAAGTGGATTATAGGGGTTAACTACCACATCCAGCCTAAGTTTTAATTTTATTTTTTTAAGATAGTCTCTGTTGCCCTGAGTAGAGTGCCATAGCATCATAGCTTATAGCAACCCCAAGCTCAAGCAATCCTCCAAGTAGATGGGACCACAGGTGTGCACCTGTTATAACACCCAGTTATTTTTTCAATTTTTAGTAGAGACAGGGTCTCTCTTTTGGTCAGGCTGGTCTCGAACTACTGATCTCAAGCAGTCTACCTACCTTGGTTAAGTTTTATTTATTTATTTTTAATGTTTTTGTTTAGTTTTTTAAATTTATTTTTAAATTTTATTAAGTCAGAGACCCATAGATTATGAATACATTTGTGCATATGTGGGGTACAATGTGCTGATTTTTTTTTATACAATCTGACGTGGTTACATCAAACTAATCGTACCTTTTACTTCATTTACTTGATTATTGGGCCAAAACATCTATGTTCTACACTTTACAGATTTGACTTGTACCCTTGTCATATGCTCCATAGGTGTGGTCCCGCCTTTTACCCTCCCTCTGTCAAGCCTCCCCACTCCCCTCCCTTCCCACTCCATTTCTCCCCTTCATCCTGGGCTATAGTTGTGTTCTATCTTTCATATGAAAGTGTGAGTAAATATAAGTAGGTTTCATAGAAGTACTGAGTACATTGGATACTTTTTCCTCCATTCTTGAGACATTTTACTCAGGAGAAATATGTTCCAGATCCCTCCATGTAAACATAAAAGAGGTAAAGGTTTCATCTTTTTTAAGGCTTCATAGTATTCCGTGGCGTGTATATACCACAATTTATTAATCCATTCATGGGTCAATGGGCACTTGGTCTTCTTCCATGACTTGGCTATTACGAATCCCTCACCCTATAGGGATACCAGAACTAAGTTTTATTTTTAATTGACCAAAATCATATGTTTTGGAATCAAACTAATAAAATCACCCCACATTTTCTTTTTTTTTTTAATTAATTTTTTTTATTGAGAGAGTCTCACTTTGTGGTCCTCGGTGACGGCTGTGGCATCATAGCTCACAGCAACCTCCAACTCTTGGGTGTAAGCCAGTGGTTCTCAACCTTCCTAATGCCATGACTCTTTAATACAGTTCCTGTAAGTTGTGACCTACTGGCTTAAGCCATTCTTTTGCCTCAGCCTCCCAAGTAGCTGGGACTATAGGTGCCTGCCACAGTGCCTGGCATTTTTATTTTTGTAGAGACGGGATCTCACTCTGGCTCAGGCTGGTCTCAAACCTCTGAGCTCAGGGCAGTCCACTTGCCCCAGCCTCCTGGAGTGCTAGGATTACAGGTGTGAGCCACCATGCCCGGCCCCCACATTTTCTTTTGTGGCAGAAATGTTTGATATCTACTCTTTGCAATGTTGTAATATGCAATCCGTTGTTACAGGTACCATTCTGTATAGTAGATCACTAAAGCTTTACCATTTCATTGAGCAATTGTAATGCAAAAAGTTGTACAATGTATGCAGTTTGAGGGCTGAGGTG